CTCTCACCCTCCCGTACTTCTGCACCCAGTGCTTGTATAAATAAATTTAAATAAATAAATAAATCTTAATTAAAAAAAAAAAAAGAAAACACACATAATTCAGTACTGGAGAAATACTGCTTGGGTAGTGACTCACATTAGGCTGAAGGAGGATGAAAGGTCTTCTGTATAAGATATGGAGAAATATTGAAAGCTTTTAGATAGGGTATGATTGTGTCATATATACATTTGGAGAAGAGTCACATAAGTAACAATGTTGAAAATGGATTGAAGGGAGGGACAGGCAACAGACAACAACTGATGCAGAGGGATCAGTTCATAGGCTTTTACAGTAACCCAAACAATGTATATGAAAACTGGAAGTAAGGCAGGTAAGGACCATGAAGAAATAGAAGTGTACATACTGAGAAAATAAGGGAGGAGTAATGAGTGTGAGAATCAGAAGTAAAAATTGACTTGGGCAGTCAGGTGGACCTCAGAAATAATGATTTTGTCAATTCCTTCAGGAGGCATGAGGCGATGGGATGACTGGAGAAGGCACAATAACTCACCCATGATCAGAGGAAATAACTCACCCATGATCACAGGAAAGGCATCTGCTATGGAAGTATGGTAAGGGACTTTAAGACTTTCAAATTTCCAAATAGGATCTTAGGGAACTTGCAGAGAGCTGTGACAGGTAAGCAATATTGAGGAGTAGCTATCTGAGTGATAGAGTTCAGAGATGGAATGGTTCCTAAGTGTCAGCACAGCCTACAGTTAGAGGTGAAAAGCATAAGTGGAGTGAAGATGAAGGTCACGAGACTTGAGGGAATCAAAGAACTAGACCAGAGATTAGGCCATTCACACTGACATTTAAATCACTGGCAAGTGATTAGAATGAAAATCAGGTTCTTATGTCTGCATTGATTATAGGAGAGTACAGAGAGCTGTGGATGGCAGATGGTAGGTGGAAACTTAAAGGATGGAATAAGGTGTGTAGAAATAAGGCAGGAAAATAAGGTACTACGTAAACCAAAGAATCTCTACAAATCTCCTAAGCTTACTCACTAAAGACTTAAAAACTAATAAAAGTTTAATGCATTTTCTCCAAGATTATGTGTCCAATATCTTAAATTGAAGGTATGTTTGATGTTGGAAGATCAGACAGTTGTAAGGCTTTTCAAGAAAATATATTTGAATACTGGGAGCTTTCAGTATTTCTGTATCTAACTAGTACCATAAGTCTAGTACCATAAGACTCCCAAGGTATTTTCAAAAATTTGGTCACAGCAATGTGTGATTAGTTCTGCTTAGCAGGTTACCTTAAATGGTTTCAGTTACATTGACAAAACCTGAAATGATCGCTTCTGTGATAGATCAAAACCTCTTACCTATTAAATTACAAACTCTACTCACTTCTCAGATCTTTAGTTGATATCTTACTCTGACGCCAGTCCCTAAAAGAAAACAGCCTTCCAATTTTTCTGCTTTTTACATAATATCCTGTAGGGTAAAGAAAATGTCAGGCTTTTCTGCCCTTCCGCCATCAGGATAGATGATGGATCCTTGTCCTGAATGCATGCCTGATGGTGGGCATCTGGAATAGGGTGTGGGCATAGGTAGATGGGATTCAGCTGAGCTAAGACTGTGCTTTTAAGGGCGGCGTCATGGGGGGACGCCAGCAGCACCAGCACCAGCAGCAGCAGCAGCCGCAGCCGAAGCCGAGAGGCAGCAGAACGAACGCTAGAGAGCCCAGATAGAGTGAGGACTTGCTGGGGGCTGGGAGGCCTGCCAGCCTCCCAGCCCCCCAGCCAGCACCCCTGCCTGCCATATGCCTGGTGAACCCCAAATAAAAAACCTGCAAAACTACTGAGGACTCTGACTCCTCCTTTACCCAGTCTGCATGGGATCAGAAAACCTGCACTGTGCTCCAGGTCCTGCCCCTACATATCCCATCTCAAACATATGTACATTTATCAAAATTTACAAAACTTTAGTATCTAAATTTAGCATACTTTGTGATAAATTTAGAAATAATTTTGACAGATATTGCTGTTATAAGAAAAAGTTATAATAGTGAAAACCCACTGTATATCAACTTCCTCATTTTTTACTATATCTACAGTCTTCCAATGAATTTAATAATTATGAGAAAACACATCTAATCATCTGTTGTTAACATGAAATTCTCCAAAATTAAGAAAGTTGGATATATCAAATTCATAAAAATACATTTTAAAGTAAGGTACTCTATTCTTGGTGATATGGAATACTTAAGGAAAATACTTTCGTCATTTTTTTTCCACAGATGAGTTACAGACAATGAACGGCAGGGGGCACAAAAGTATAAAAGTTATCTAGAAAGCAAAGTACAGTAAGCTCAGCGAAAGAAGGTAAATTTTGGAGGCAGATAGACTGATTTCAACTGGCTCCATCAGATTAAACCTGGGCTTCTTCAATGGTAAAAACATGGGAATTATGACACAGAGATTAAATGTTAGCATATGAAAGGCAAACACTAGGGTTTTTTCTTCATTGCTTATTACATACATTCACACCAAAAAACACATCAGATAAATGCAAATTTAGATTTTGGAGGAATCTGTACAAGCCTGAACACGGAAATGGCTATGGTTTCTTGATTACATGAGAACATAAGTACAGCTAGGTCAAAACTGAAACAAAAACTGAACCAAAAAAATGGTGGTATTTACTCAAATATTACCAGAAAATGTGAATAGCAGAGAAAGTTGATGTAAACATCTGTGAATATTTTCAGTATAATATAGTGCAATGTTTCTCAGAGTATGATCCAGGAAAAACCTTCTTCAGAATCATCTGGGAGAACTATAAATACCATTATAGATAAATATTTGTTCTCTTCTAACACCTTTCAAGATCAACAACTCCAGACAGAATTAATAGGTCAAAGAATATGTGTGTGTGCTCCTAGACGGCCAACATTGCAGGAATATTTCTCTTTCAATCTTTGCTAATATGATAGGTGAAAAATAGTTATCTTTTAACTCAGACTCTATTAGTGAGTTGGAAAAGTTGTTTCTCACTATATATTTCTTTTGTAAATTGCTATTTCATACCTTTAGTATCTTTCCCATTTTAAGAAGATTAACTCTACTATTTTGAAAATATCTTCAACAGTTTCTCATTTGGCTTTGCTGATTTTTTTTTTATTTAATCATAGTCTTATCAATCATTTCCTAAGTGATTTCTGGTTTTGAATTCTATTTGGAAAGTGTTTTCTTACTACAAGATTATATAAATATTTGCCTATGTATTCTGAAACAAAATATAAAATCCAGCTCCAAATGCATGTAAGAATTTAAAATACCAATTCATTCAATCATGTATTCATTCACGCAACAAATACCCATTGAGCACATATATACTAGGAACTATTCTAAATACTGGAGATAAAGTAGTGATTAGACCAACAAAGTTCCTGCTAGCATGGAGTTATTTTCCAAAAGGAATATGATCATGTAGCATATAATTTAATGTGAGATTTCAAGTTAATGGGCTAAGAATATTCAATGTACAATGCTATTACAACTAGTTAACCATTAAAAAAAGCAATAAATTATTTCAATCCTAACATCAAGCATATTACAAAGAGATTTAAAATATGTATAACGAAACCATGAAAATACTAGATAAAGCATAAATGTTACATAAATGAATATTATATACATTCTTTAACATGAAAACTCCTTTAGAATAAGATCTCAAGGCAATTTTAGAAGCCTTATTTTTTTTCCTTGAAGGGAAGAATGTTATATTTTATTTTTCCCTTCTTTCTTTTTTAAAATTAATTAAAAAAATTTTTTACATCATTGTTCATTTTTTAAACAATATTTGTTCATAGTTTCCTTCACCAATGCATCTGTGCACCATCGCCTCAGTCCCCTATGCTCCTCCCTCCCTCCCTCTGATCCCTCTCCCACCTCCTCCTCTGCAGTATGTCTCTGATTTATAATTGTCCATTTTTGCTTTGTTGTGTTTTGTACTGTTATTATTTTTTTACACTGATGTCTTGTTTGGTTCCCCTGTATTCCTGCTATAAGTGAAACCATCTGATATTTTTCTTTTTCCTTCTGGCTTATTTCACTGAGCATAATTCCTTCTAGCTCCATCCACATTGCTGCAAATGGCATGATTTTATCTTTTTTTGATTGCAGAATAATATTCCATTGTGTATATATACCACATCTTCTTGATCCAGTCATCTATTTTTGGGCATTTGGGTTGTTTGCAGGTTTTACCTATTGTAAATAGTGCTGCAATAAACAAAGGGGTACAGGTGCTCTTTTGAATCAATGTTTTTGTGTCCTTTGGGTAGATACCTAGGAGTGAAATTGCCAGGTCATATGGTGCTCCATTTTTAGTAGACTGAGGAACCTCCAGACAGCTTTCCATAGTGGTTGGACCAGTTTACACTCCCACCAGCAATGTAGGAGAGTTCCATTTTCACCACATCCTCGCCAACATTGGTTGTTGCCTATTTTTTTTTTTTAAATAATTTTTTTTTTTTATAGAGGCATGCTTTATTTATTTGTTTGCTGGTTTGTTTGTTTGTTTTGTTTATACATGCACTGGGTACAGTCAGAAGCGCGGGAGGGTGAGAGAATTCACCAGAGCCAGAGCGGGGAGCAGAGCAGGCAGAAGGACCGAAGTACACTGCTGAGGGGAGCAGCGGGCGGCAGGAGAGGTCTGCACGCCATGTGGGACCCTCCTCCGGTGGCCGGGGAGCAGCCGGGGATCGAACCGGCGCCACAGAGGCCGCGGGCAGCTTCGCAACCCAGCGCTCAACCGCTGCGCCACCGGGGAGGCCCTGTTGCCTATTTTTTTGATATGTGCCATTCTTACTGGTGTAAGGTGGTATCTCAATGTGGTTTTGATTTGCATTTCCCTGATTATAAGGGATGTTGAACATTTTTTCATATGCCTGTTGGCCATTTGCAAGAAATCTTATTTTCTAAAAATGGAGTAGAACAAGGTAATTTTGAACAATAATCTTTATTAGTGTGTTTTCAAAGGTACATATAATCCTGAGCTACTGCATTTATATATTTATCATTGACTCTTCGAAGTCTACATGTATTTTGCTCCAAACTCTCCAATGAATACATTTTTATAACAACTAGGAACATAAATCATTTAAAATATTATTATTAATCCCTGAAATAGCCAATTAATTTACTCAGATCATCTCATTTTCTAATTCTGCTACATTAAAGCCTTTAGAACATTACTTCTCAAGCAATTTCTTTTTCAAAACTGCAAAGATGGGCAGTGTAAGAGCTGATTCCTTAAATTGTAGTGAATTCTTAGAAAACTATGTTGTTTTTGTTTCTGATTTATTTTCTTGAATATTGGGTAATTATCTGACCAGCTACATTTCAAAAGAATTTTTAATAGTAACTATCTCTAATATCAACATTTTAGCTAGTGTAAAATGTCTCCCTTCACAGAGTAGTCCATAATTATCCCAATAAAGAAAATCTGCCATGATCTAATGAAAAGGCGTACAACCCAATGTAAAGATAGCTTTTTTTTTAAATGGTTAATTACTATAAAACACATATGTGAAATATTTCTTCCAGGCTCTACAAAGGATTACACACTGCTGATTAACATTAAATTTCATAAATCTATTATAGAACACTCATAACCGGTAAAGAAAAAAATAGACAAAAATGAAAGACAAAAGTCCTGTGATCTTTGAGAAAAAACATTTATCCAACATTATCTCCAGCTGTGGACAAATAAATATTTTCATTCTTGTATTTTAAATTACTACCAAAATATTGTATCTTTCTACAAACAACAAAAAACAAGCATACACTATTTAGAAATGGTTTTTATCTGACAAGAATGTTAAGTCTTTGAGGGTACACTCAATTTTTTTTTCCTGAATTAGGTCATTATGATCTTAGGTTAAAGTTACAGTAAGCAGTTCAAGCAAAATGCATATTGCTTAGATTTTAAAGCAAGCAATTTTGATACTGTTTAATTAAAATGTAAGTAGAAACGTGAAGCTACTGTAGAAACATTGAGAAACACTTTTTGGGAATACTCACAGGTCAGCAAGTAATGAAATATCTGATTTAAAAATGATGAAAAAATAATGTTACATGTAATGTTTAGAGATAAACCAAAAATAGCTTTAAGAAATGTAAAAGAACATGAGGGCACAGCTTTATTATTTGGAGTTTTAGACCTAGGAGCAAAACAAACTATTTGCAGATAATGTAGAGCAATGAACAGTTGTTCATAAAGGACTCCCAAAGTCTTAAAACTTTATACATAAACCAGAATGGAATCCATCAGGATAAATGATTTAAAGATGTCCAGAGTCGCTTTCTAGAACTGCTAGATACTCTCACTTGCATAACTGAATCATACATACATAAGCTTAAGCAAAACTGTGTTCTGGATAACTCACTCTTATGGCTCCCCAATAACAAGCTCGGATAAGGCAGATCAAACCTAAGAGATAAGCAATTGCCCAAGAAACATATGTTGCCCGAAATCGCCTTGAAAAATCTTGGGTGCCAACCTAAAATAAAGCAAAATAAAAACAAAAGGTTAGAAACCTTGACAAAATATCTGCTCAGAGAACTTGTCTTGGCTGATGTGATTTTATGAAATATATCCCCAAGGATACAAAAATTCCTAAAAAATATGAATTGGTATATTTGTTGTCTTATATCATTTACTACTGACAAAGTTGAGAGAAAAAATTCTAACAATAGCATAATACTCACAGTTAATCCAACTCCAATGAAAATACATATCATTCCAATGGTGATATATGCGCAGCAGCGTCTTCGCGGAAGTGCGCTACCCACTGAGGAGCTGCAAATTCATGAGAGTAAAAGAAAATATTAGACATTCACATAAATTGTCTCCATTTCACCTTTGTGAGACCTTATCTATGGGCTTACTAACAGATACATATGAGTTATAAAAGGGCCTCCTAAGGTACAGATGTAGATAGCCAATCTCCAAGAGGAAAAGATCATGCAATGATTTCCAAACACCTAACTATTCATCTCCAAATTAGTAATCTTCCCCTTCACAACACTTCCCTGTGGAACATTAGAATTATGAAGGGCACCCAGAAAATGAAGGTGTCTAGCAGTGTTATTTATAGCACAATTCTCCAGTGAGATAGCCAGGGAAGTCTTTATTAGGTGGGGTGTAAGGACAGGGCAAGACATGATATATGGAGAGTAAGTCATCTTAGCTGGTAGCAGTACCACTGTTCAAACATGAACAAATAAGAATTTTGTTCAAGGAACAAGCAGCAGAATAATCTTTCTTCCAGAGATGGTCTCTCTAGGTGAGTAGTAGAAGCAAAGGACGTTTCAACTAATTTGAGAAATTAAGCAAGTGATTTCCAAGTAGACAGTTGGGTCACTCCAGACCAAGCAGAAAGAGACTGAGGGACTGAAGCAAGAAACAATCTATTATGGAAGTAGAATTTATTAAGGCTGGGACATAGAGGGCTATGTGTAGAGGTATAAGAACACATAACAAAGATACCGCTAGAGAAGTTAGACAAATACCTATACTGAGAGGGTTGTATATACCTTGCTATAAAGTTTGGAATTTGATCTTGGCGTTTAGCCAAGTAAGTAAGTAAAAGGTGTCCTTTCTCAAGATACTGCATACGTTACTAATAGGCAAAACTAGAATAACAATGAAAATGACAGCCTCGGGTGTTATAGAGCCTACACAATGTGTACCACTGTCATTAATTTGATAATTACCAAAAGATTTACTTTTGCAGCCAGAAAGCTTAAAATCCTATTTGCATTTGAAGGCCTTTACTCTAGTAAATATAGAGTTACAAGTTTGGAGGCCAAAAGACAAATTAGAAAGCTATTATAGTAGTTTCTGGTGAGAGATAACTGCATGCCTGAACTAAAATGGGAAGAGTGAAGGAACATAATAAAACATGTCAAAAAACATACATGACAGGATTTATATCCACTTAAATATGGGGAATAAAGATACACATTTCTGGCTTGGTCAACTGGGCAAATGGGATAACATTAGTATATGCTCATCAATATGCAACAGATAGATTATAGAGTGGGTTGAGTGTATTTTGTTTGAGATGTGTATGGACATTCAGGTTGAAATGGCTGTGGACCAAAAAATGAACACACTTTGAAGGAAAAAAATAGGATGGCCAATTAAGCCAAATACCACAGAGCAAACAAGCAGGAGGAGGACTGAACAGACATATTAGGACTTGCAGTTGGGATATGAATTTTGGCCTAATTGGGACTGATGGCACTTTACTCCAGAAGTAATGGGATGTCAGTGTCAAATGAAGCGATACTCCTTGAAGAGACTTGCATTGCTCTGAGAAGATGATTTAGCATCAGCATAGATAGAAACAGGCTCATAGATAAGAAGTATGAAGACAAGGGAGTTCACAGAGAGTCTCAATCATTTCAGAGACAGAGAGTAGAGGGTCTGAAGGCTGAGAGCATAAGAGGAAAGGTAACTTGATGATAGCAGAGTGAAGACCCCAGGCTTCTCCAGATATAATAAAACTGTTGTAAAACAAAGCTAACAAAACTAACAAAGCTAACAAAAGCCCGAGGGGACAACACTAATGATAAAGGACTGATCACAAAAATCTACAAAGAGCTGATGAGACTCAACAAAAACAAAGAAAATAATCCAGTCAAAAAATGGGCAGAAGAGCTAAAAAGAAACTTCTCCAAAGAGGAAATACAAATGGCCAACAGGCATATGAAAAAATGTTCAACATCACTTGTAATCAGGGAAATGCAAATCAAAACTACCATGAGATACCATCTTACTCCAGTGAGAATGGCACATATTAAAAAAACTAGCAACAACAAATGTTGGCGAGGGTGTGGAGAAAAAGGAACTCTTCTGCACTGTTGGTGGGAGTGCAAACTGGTCCAACCACTATGGAGAGCTGTGTGGAGATTTCTTGACCTTCCATATGATCCAGCAATTCCACTCCTAGGTATTTACCCAAAGGACACAGAAACATCAATTCCAAAGAGCACTTGCACCCCTATGTTTATAGCAGCACTATTTACAATAGCTAAGCTTTGGAAACAACCCAAATGCCCAAAAATAGATGACTGGATCAAGATGATGTGGTACATATACACCAGGGAATATTACTCAGCATTCAAAAAAGATAAACACATGCAACTTGCAGCAACATGGATGGCGCTGGAAGGGATCATGCTCAGCGAAATAAGCCAGAAAGAAAAAGAAAAATACCGGATGGTCTCACTCATAGCAGGAATCTAGAAAACCTAAATAAGGGACCAGGAAAAAGAATATAAGAAAGAAAAAATCAAAATCAACAACTACGAACCAGAGACACATTATGGGGGAGGGGGCGGGGAAAGGAGAGATTGGGGTCAAAATAAGAGGGTTGCAATTGTATGGGGAATATAAAAATAAAATTAAAAAAAAAACCCTAGGGGAAAACTAACAACCACAACAAATACTAAGAGCATCAGTAAGGCAAAAAGGGGTGGGAAAAATTTTAATTGAATTTTTTTTAGAGTAATAACAGGTAGTACAACCCAAAAGAGTAGTTGCTGTGCAGAGCCCCCTTACAACTGATTGGGGCACACACCAACATCGGGGTTCCTAAGACCCAGCACTACACTGGACAGAGGGGTGCACAAACAGGCACCCAGGATGGAGGGTATACTGCTGGAGAGCTGGAGAGGTAGGGGCAAAGATTATTGAGCAAAGATTATTGGGTTGAGTCTTTGGCTCGTAAGACAGAAACTACACCCTTAATTGGGTCAGAGTGCTTGGACCTCTCTAGAGGGGCCACTACTCGAAGCCCAGGCTGAAGGATCCAAAACATCTGGCATCTCTGCAAAGAAATGCTTGAACACACGAGAGCTTGAACATTTACCAACAGCGAGAGTGGACACCCCAGGATAAGACTCTGCTAGGAAGGAAAAGAAAACAACTCTGAGCCTGTGACCCCACATCAACTGCTCACATCTATGCCCAGCATTGTTTCTAGTGCTTAAAAATACCCTTGAGTGGAAGTGGACATGAGAGCATAAGACACACTGAGACCAAGAAGCTGCCCTGTGGGAGGGGATTACTGTGGCACCCATACAACTCTGGCACCCACAACACAACAGGGAGTTCAAAGTCCTAAGAACAGATAACTATTTTGGAGAATGGGGGAGGGAATTCATCAAGGACACTTACAAAAAAGAGTATCAACAACAGATAAATTGATAAAATTTGACAGAAAATAGAGCATCAACAAGGGTTTTAGTTGAAGCATACAACTATACATTTGTAAAGAGCTAATCAATATAGAACTTTTTTGGCTCTTAGTTATCCTGGTAGAGTAAGGGAGAAGTCATGGCCATATTGATCCATGTGGTTTGAAAAGCAGACGGTTGGAAGTGAATTTCAAGGGATGATGACTTAGCTAATCTAGTAAGCCTTACAGTCTATCTCTAACACATTAAAAATGAATTCATCATCTCTCTCCCAGACACATTTCTCCTAGATCCTGCTTTCCTTATCTTACTGACTGGTTCCACAGCCTCTCAGATATAAGGTCATCTTTGACCCCAATCTCCCTTTACGTTTAAGTCATTCACTTCCTTAACAGCACATCAACCTGGTGACTCTACTGTACACCTCTGCACAGGTAGCACCTCCTGCAAGAATCCATCCCACCCTCTTTTTCACATCATTCCCTCTTATCTTTAATAACTTTGCTCATAAATCCCTCCCTCTTAGAAGCCTTCTCTCACATTCCCCATCCCTCCAGTTTGGATTAAGGGCTCTTCAGAGTATGCTGGTCATACCTCTTTTTTTTTTTTTTTAAGATTTATTTATTTATACATTGGGTACAGTCAGAAGCACGGGAGGATGAGAGAACTCACCAGAACCAGAGCAGGGAGCAGAACAGGCAGACGCGCAAAGTACACTGCTGAGGGGAGCAGCAGGCGGTAGGAGAGGTCTGCGCGCCATGGTCATATGGTCATACCTCTTTCAAAGCACTCAAAACACTCTAATTTTTATTTTATTTCCCCTACACCTACAAGACTAAATTCGCCGAAGCAAGGTTCTTTCTTTCTTTTTTTTAATCACCTAATAGCACAGGACTGTTCACTGAATTAATGGATAATTATAAAAGCATATAACATTTAAGAGGAGGAGTCTGATATAAAACAGTAGGGGGTGATCCACTAAGGCGTAGTACATCAGTGATGGAGAAGAAGTTCAATACTAAGCATCATGGATTAAACTGCTATCTCTAATAGTCTTAGGCTTATTATAACATCTACATGAAAACACAGTTCACAATGTATTTCAGAATTCTAAATCTACCTCTTGGGTCAGGCACAAGCTTCCAATTAAAAGAGAAACAAGCTTCCAATTAAAAGAGAAATTAACATTTAGCTACAATAGTACCAGTGACTGCATGAGTAAGAAACAGTGATATATGAACATGCTTAGTCTCTGGAGCCCTGGAGGAAATGGAGCTTTCCTCCACATGGTTTGTGAGATAAAATGACAGACAAAGTTCATGGTAATTTAGTAACTCTAATAAATTAAAAATAATTTTAGTATATTTAATATTTGTATTTAAAGAAATATAATTCTATCTCAGACTCTTCAACAGATGACTCACATTTTATTATCAAGAAAACATTCAAAGAGAAAAGAAATCTAGATACAAATCAAAAGTGTTCATGTGATAACAACATCTTTGCTCAAATAAGTACTGAATATCCTGTGTCCTCCCATGTTGAGATTATGATTCCAATTCTATAAAGAGTCCTGAGAATGACATTTATACTGTGAATATCTATGCAAGATGTTCCTTAACAATTTGATACAAATTCTTCTTCATATTAATATACTATCTTGTGATATTTTAACCAATCAAAAAGCATCTAGAGACTCAATACTTCTTTATTATTAGCAAAATATTATCATTGTGCTGAAATAATTAACCAAGAAAATCATGTGGGCAACATCCTCAACCCCTTTAACAGTTCCTCATCAGTAAAAGGAGGAAAATTTCAGCACTCCAGGATCGTTGTAGAGATTAGAGGTAGCATATATGTGTGTATATAAAGGAACTATCACTATGCTCAGTATACAATCTTGCTAACCACCAGAAGTCTCTCCTTTTTAATTTTCTATAAAATTTCTTTTTTTTTAAGATTTATTTATACAAGCACTGGGTACAGTCAGAAGCGCAGGAGGGTGAAAGAATTCACCAGAGCCAGAGCGGGGAGCAGAGCAGGCAGAAGGACCAAAGCACACTGCTGAGGGGAGCAGCAGGCGGCAGGAGAGGTCTGCGCGCCATGTGGGACCCTCCTCTGGTGGCCGGGGAGCAGCCGGGGATGGAACCAGCGCTGCGGGCAGCTTCGCAGCCCAGCGCTCAACCGCTGCGCCACTGGGGAGGCCCTCTATAAAATTTCTTAATACCATGTTCTTGGTGAAGACATTTGCAATTTATTTTTCTTCATTTTCATGAAAATACAGCTAATACACAGAATTATGAGTCATTCACATACATGTGTTTGGGGATGTCCCTCAAATACATAGAGTCCTGTGTATTTATTTGGGGTGATGCACTGTGTTGCTCTGTATGCAGATGTCTATGAGATTCAACAAAGAATTCAAATGACTGATTTCACAAAAAAGGAGCTATCTATGCCTTTGAAGCTAGAAATATGCTGTAAAGCACATTATCATAGAGCTATATTTAGTTGGAATCAGATCTAGCATAGATATATGGAGATACTCCATTACATGTACTCTACTTCTCTTTTTGCACTCCTAGAAACTATTCTCAGAATTTTTCAACTGTCAAAATAGGTAAGGCATTTATATCATGATAAAGATTACAATAATTAAACCACAAACTCTTATTTTCAATTTTAAAAATTGAATTATCAATTAGTTAAATTTCCTTTGTTTAAGTCATAATTCACATATACACTGGAGAACAAGTATTACAAAAATAGATGCAGAGTTAATATAACAGGTTTAAGACTGCAATCCTTAGAGGGACCTGCTTGCAAGGTTGGCTTGTGACTGGAAAGTCAGAATTCCAGAAAATTTTCCCCATTCCCTACCTGGCAAGAGTTATCAAACAATGTGTTTTATTCTGAATCACATTCATTATATATTTATTCATCCATAATATCTATTATATCTCAGAGTATAGAATTTTAGTGTGTGTTATACAATAAGAATCTCTGTGTAGCTTCAATAAAAAAAACTTGCACACTGGGCCTCCCCGGTGGCTCAGCCGTTGAGCGCTGCGTTACGAAGCTGCCCGCGGCCTCTGCGACTCCAGTTCAATCCCCGGCTGCTCCCTGGCCACCGGAGGAGGGTCCCACATGGTGCGCAGACCTCTCCTGCCGCCCGCTGCTCCCCTCAGCAGTGTATTTCGGTCCTTCTGCCTGCTCTGCTCCCCGCTCTGTCTCTGGTGAATTCTCTCACCCTCCCGCGCTTCTGACTGTACCCAGTGCATGTATAAACAAAACAAACAAACAAACAAATAAATAAATAAATAAATAACATGCCTCTATAAAAAAAAAAATTAAAAAGAAAAAAAACTTGCACACTGAGTCTCTGATGAGACTTGTAACACAGAACAACTCACTGCTAGGGAATAAGCCCATGCTATGAGACATCTGAGAGAGGACTATTGAAATATTCCTAGTTTCCTCCACACTTTGCCTCATGTACCTTTTTCTTTTGCTAATTTTGCTTTGTATATTTTCACTCTAAGTATTATTTCTAATTCCTATTAGAAAAATCGCAGAATCTTGGGGTTGTAACAGTGGTCCACAGGGAAAGGAGAGATTCTAGATTTGCTGCCCCACCCAAGGAACGGTGGAGCTGAGCAGGGAAAAGCAGCTGGAGAGGAGACAGGAGAAGGAAGGAAGCAGGATGGAGAGCCAGGAGGAGACTGGGAGGAGGCACATGGAGCAGAGGGACATGTGAAGAAGCTGCACTAGCAGCTTCGGGAGGTTAACAATTCCAGTGTTTATCTTGATTTTGATTTTTTGCTCTTTTCTTCCCAGACTTGTCTGGCTGTTTCTGACCCTTTTCTATGGGTCCCAACTGGAATGTGCTTTAGACTTGCAGGAAGCTTTCAAGCCTCAGTGGCCCTGCTTTGGGCCAACCTTGTTTGGCTGCACATTTACCCATGAGGGGATGGGTAACTGCAGGTGCTTGGTTTGAAAACTATATTCTTTGTCTTGTTTTTGTTGCACACTAGTTTTATTAAAGTTCCTTTCCATTTAAGGTCTTATGCATTAGAGCATGTTTTATCTTAATGTAGCAGATGGCAGAACCTATTTACAGTGGGCAGGTTTCAGGGTTCTAGGGTGCCCCTCTCCCTGCCTTGTAACAGGGTGACTGAGGGAACCCCTAACATAGATACCATAAATTATCTTTCATTAAAATATGACCTATCTTACCCCATTTTATATTGCTTTTTGTTTTCCTAGGTATATCATTTAGGAATAGGGAAAAATAGACTGAATAGTTAATTATATAAACTTTGCCACCATACAGCAATCTTTCTGTGGGGGAGAAGACAAAAGCTGACAACTGCCTATCTACAAACCCCAAACACTTTAATTTTTCTCCTATATTACAGTCCATTTTTAAAAAATAAATTTTAGGATATTTGTAATAGATTGTAACCTCTTACAACATTTAAAAATTCTGTCAGGTTACTGATAATTTTAGTGATTTCACTGTCTTAGAAACTGATTTCTCTTAAGAGAATGATAAACCCAATCATTTTAATTTCAAAATTGAATTTATTAAGCAGTTTAAAGATGCCTTTTTTAAAAAGTCTTAAGTCTTGAAAAGCATAAATAATTAAGCATGCACTCAACCCACAGCATGTCTTAAAATCAAAATCTACTTAAGTCAGAATTCTGAACTCTAAGCTGTTGTGAAGTACTTCCCAATAGTATTTCCAACTACAAGGAACTTACATTTTTTTGCAGTGTGGGCATTTTGCCAGAGTGTTGAACCTCAGTTCCATCCACTGTAAAATAAATAAAGAAGATATTGAAAAGAAAAACAAGTGAAAACTATCTAATCTGATAAGATGTTTCTTTCAGTTCAAAGGTCATCAGGGACCACAGCAGAAACAATTCCCTTCTCACGGGTTCTAGGAGCTCTTCCCTCCACCACTGCTCCACATTCCTGAAAGTAAAGTTTGGGATTCCCCTTGGAAAGAGTTCCCATGATTTTCCCAAGGTTCTGACGCAATCTAAGTTTGTTTTACACTGAAAACTGAATGTCAGGTCATTTCTTTCAGTCCTGTGTCTCACAGTTCAGGGAATAAAAACATTTTTTATGTGACTTCAAAGTTGTTTTTCATTTAAATCTTTCCTACATTTTATATATTTCCTGCTTGTTCAGAACTATTTTGTTCTGCAACTATAGTTGCTGAACTTATATCATTTTGACGCAGCTACTTTGGATAACATTTACATTCTTACATTTTAAAACTGAAAATATTAACAAATGAATATGACTACGCTTTCTAATGAAAAAAGAATTGCTTTCTTAGAAAAAAACAAGACCTCTTAAAATATTTTTTAAAAATCTTAATGACTTCTATTAAATACTTGAATAGTTACATTATTAAAATGCAACTGTTTACTCCATTTACATGGGAATCCCACACAGTAAATAAACTAAACAAATTAGGTGAAGACAGAACTCAACTCAGGAAACTGCCTTTGTTCTGTGCTTGCTTCTGTAATAAAACATACTTTTCCTATGGGACAACCTTATCTTCATCCCTGTGAATGTGAGTTATAGAACAGACTACCTCCTCATAGCATCAATATTCAGGTACTTAGAATACTTTACTGGTAATAGGTAAAGTTTTGGAAAGAATGTGCTACATAAATTTAAAGTAATTTTTTTATCATAAACTATATTTTTAAAATACCTTGCTCACCTTTCACCTTGTTTGCCTTTCTATCTTCTTCCTTGTAATGTATACATTTCCTTCATAATTTTAGGTTTCTGTAAGTAATTTAACAGTTTTACAGAAAAACAACTTTTCTTTTATTAAAGTTAATTTTTGTCTAGGATTCCTGGTCACCCCATTCTCTTTCCATAACTCTCAAATTTCAGGATTAGCAGGTCTTCAGTAAGTTATGCTAAGAGGTTATAGATATAACTTAGATGACAACTTTCACAAAATAGCTAATGTATAATTTTCTTTTTAATAATTTTTAATAATTAGGCTTACAAAAAAAAAAAAAAAACCCACAACAAATAAACTGTGTTTACCTGGACTTCCTTTGCCTCATTTATATTTCAAACCTGATAGAAGTTAGATATCTTTGAAAATATCTCTCTCAATCACAGAAAGAATATAAGAGTACCAAGATAAATAACTAGAAATGAAACTTCACATGAAGGTTCACTTTCTTTTCAAAATGATTACTTTTCAATATTTGATAATGCCCAAAAAAAGGCTCTATTTTTTTCAAGCAGCAGTAAATCTTTCTTTTACTACTTATTTTGGAACAAACTAATTTATTTCAAAGCTTATTCTTAATAGTAAAAGTGTTATAATGCATGTACTAAGCAGGTATTCATATAGATATAGAAATTGGTACAAAACATAAAAAGTAAAGAATATAGAAATCTAATTCAGTACTTTTTTATGTTTTTGTAATCAGCTTACAGATAGCTGCTGAACTTGTAAAATATTTCAGGTTTTATCTATATGTAACAAATTTCTCATAACTAAAAGAAACATGGTGATTGAGAAGGCACTTAAGAAGCTCCTGAATGAAAAGTAACTCAAAATTCAGGCCTGAAGGCTAACACACTGGCATAAGAGGTCTAGGATTTTATTGTAGATGACCAATCTAAGAAGATTATTTTAGTTCAATATTATCATTTCATAATGTTCTTCATTTTAGCACCAAATTATGTATGGTAAATTCAATTATAGCTAACAGTTAAGGATTTATTGTGTAATTAGTAAATTATACAATTAGCAACTCAACAAATCTGGTTTTGTTGTTATCTCCTAGTACTTAGATATAGCAAACTGAAAACAGAAAAGCATCTATTATTAGAAATAATTTTGTCTTACTTATTCAAATGAATGCAAATACCTATACTTTTAAAATGAACTTGGCTTACTATTATTTTTTAAATCTGTTAAAATTTTATTGCCAGACTTTGAAGTCTCTCTCACTGGAAAAAATAATTATTCATGTAATTTGCTATCAGAAAGATTAAGAGCAACTTCTCTAAAGCCCAATTTTTTTAGTAGAGAAATTCCAATATTTGACTTATTTATAACCATTCTACATAACAAATAAATTTAATTTCCCCAAGATAAATATTTTTTAATCATAAGAAAGCTATACCACATAAAAACTAGTAATTTGATATTAACTTACTGGATTTTTTTAATGGATACAATAGATGATATGTATATTACTTTGAATTATGGTCAAGTTAAAACTATCATTATTTTCTCCTATGGCAACAAACTACATGTCTGTGTGTTCAACTGAATAAAATCCGATCCTGCCTGAAGGTATACTGGCTCACATCAGGAAAAGTTTGAACCATTTTCTGATTCAGGCATTTGCTGTAAGTTAGTTCAGTTTTTATTGGAGAGTGCCAACCTTATAGTCAGGCACAGGTGACAAAGCATTTCAGCAGCAGCAAAAAACACCCACCCCACAGAAATGAAAATTTAACTCTCTGCTTGTCAATTATCTTAAATTGTCTTTACATTCATGGAGGACTAGCTGAAACCTATGTATTGCCTTTATTATTCTAGAAAATCATTTGCAAGCAATTTTCCTCAAAATACAACTCTGGCTAGACAAGTCCCTCAAAATAGTTTGGAAGTTAAAAAATATTTGTACACACTAGATTAAAAATCCCTCTGGACATTCGAAAAGATGTATGCTGCAAGTGCTAAAGAATGCACCCAAAAAAAACCTGTCATTTTTTTTTTATCCTAACAATTCCCAATACCATAGATTCTTTACTCACAGAACACCTAATATTATTAGCTTATAAAATGAATTCTCTATTAAGTAGACATATTTGGAAAACATAAATCTAGGTTTTCTAAACATTATCTATGAATTCACAGGCCAGCCTGTGAAATGAATAGTGAAAATTCTAAGTAAATTTAATGTTAGCATTGTAACACTGACATATTAAAAGAAATTACTGAAGGATACTGTTAAAGACACTGCCCACTACATTGTTTTTTTCTTAATCCATGGGAATGATTCTCAGGATGCATTACTCCAATAAAAGCTTCATCTATGTGACCTTTTTGCAAAACATCATGAATATCATGTTTTCCTCTTTTGGTTATACTCTAAAGCCTCATTAAAACTCTGTCTACTTTATCAACTGCACATGATTAAATATTATGCATACTAATATTCTTATGCATTCACTTATTTTTTTCTGCCCTATCTTTCATTCTCCCTGTTTTTTTTTTTTCATATTCTATTTTCAATCCTGTTGAACTCTGTAACTTATTTTAATTGCTACAGAATATAAGCCAAGATTCAAACAAGGTAGGGATAAGAAAATTAATTCTCTTAATAGCTAACATCTTGAAGGCAAACACACAAGAAAGAACATGAAATTATCCATGATCAGTAAAAAAATAAGGACAAAGTAAAGTTCTCAACAGAGCTTCGAGGTCTGTTTATTCTTCACCCTGAGCAGCTATTATTAATCTGAAACTCTCAATAACTACCCTATAGGTACATAGAAAAATTTTGTTTCTAGGAATAGTGAAATTATCTTTAAATAACATATATTAATCCAAAATACTCTCTTCTGCTAAGGAATTAAGAGTTTTTAATCAGCATTACTGTGCTAAATTAATGTTAACATTATTCATTTGCCTGTACCGGGTATTAAGAAAGAGTCAGTTTTAGAAATTAGGCTCAGGCTTGCACATTACATTAGTAATTTTCTTCTGGGGGTGGGAAGATATCTAAACACATAAATTACCTTTTTTTAGGACTTTATTTTTGTATAGAAGAACTGGGGTATAGGCCACAGGTGTGGGTGGTAAGAGTATTCACCAGAGACAGAGTTAGTAACAGAGCAGGCAGATTTACTAAAATACACTGCTGAGGAGAGCAGTGGGCTAGACAGGAGAGGTCTGCTGCACCATATGTGGGTTATCGCCCTGGCTGGGGATTGAACTCAGGCCCTAGAGGTGATATGAGACTTAACCCATAAACCACCAGGGAGGCCCACACATAAATTATCTTTTAAGTTATGAAAACTATGTCACATATGTATTTAACCTCTTTATATTATTCTTTAGAATTCATGCCAAATGATTTCCAAAAAGTTAAATATAAAGCATATAACAGTTGTGTTTGGTTTTCCTTTTTCCTCCCTTATCTACCCTATTATCAGCATTGTCATTTCTCTCTCAAATTCTTTATGCTAACTATTCCGACTCATCACCACCACTTTTCTGAATACATAAAAGCCAGATACCTAGTCTTGACTCTTCAGGCTTAACCCTGAGCAGTTCCCCCTATATGAAGCTTCCACAAATACAGAATTAACTACTATAAACTGTATATAATTACTATAGACTAAACTATAATTAGTATACACTAAAAACTACTATAGTTTTCCATAACTCTTATGATAATCTCATTTCCACTGAGCTAGGTGTATATAAGAATACCTGGTATTTCCCTATGGTAGTCTTAAAACATTTCATATATTTCTTGTTTTAATTGACCTTCTCTTCCTACTGGATTAGAAAATCCCACAAGGACAGAGACTGTGCCTTCCTTTTTTCCCAGCATATATCCTCACTCTCAGTACATATCTTTGTACAAATGAAATAAGCTTACTTATCATATCATTACAAGGATTATCCATGGCAAATTATCCATGTTATGTTCTATAACATAAGGACAAAAAAAAAAAAACAAAACAGCGGGGAAATGGTCTCAAATGTTTGAACAATGGAAAGTTAATGGCTACTTGGCAACTTACTGAAAAGGTTTCTGAAACTTGCTACCTACAGCGAGACAGGCCAGTGAAAAGCACACTAATTCACACTGAAGAGTGAGAAGACCTTTCAGATATTTGGGCTACCCAGTGCTCACAAAGGTGGGTGGTGGTGATAGTGACAAAAACAGGAGTATGTATTGTAAACTCTTTCCGTCACACCACAAAACCATAAACCCCTCCCTTTACAACACATGCAAGAAAACAATGATTTCTTCTAATAAGAAAATGGACTAAAGAGTCTATCATCTTAGGAAACCAGGCACAGTAGAACACAAGAAAAGAATACCAGTCTAAAAAACAAAGTAATTAAGTCAAAGTCCTTAGTCTGAACAGGACAGACCTCTATCCCTTTACCTTTCTCGGCACCTAGAATGCTGTCTCCCAGGCATGTCCCTGACAAGAGATCAGAGGACTGTTTCCCAGAGGAACTTGAACTAAAAAAAGAAAAAGACTTATTGGAACTGACAGTAGACAGTTCTTCAAGAGAAAAGGTAGAGGAAAACTGAGGAAGAAAAGAAGCATGAATGGGAAGGAGAGAGGGTGAGAGGAGTTTGCTTCTGCTGTATGCATTGAGACTCCAATCAGTGACTCACTATGAAAAATGAATGAACTTTTCAGTAAATCCGCCATCACACACACAAATAAATAGTGGGGAGAAAACATAGAGAAGGCATAAAGAAGAAGAATCCCTCAGAAAAAACACAACAAGTGTAACGGGGTGGTCCCCAGGAAAGGGGGAGGGTCCCTGCCCCACCCAAGGGAGGGTGGAGCTGAGCAGGAAGAGGAGAAGCTGCAGAAGAGACTGAGGAAGGAAGCAGGATGGAGCCAGAAGGAGACCTGGAGGAGGCGCATGGAGCCTAGAGACACGTGAAGAAACTGTGCTTGTCTTTTGGTCGTGGACTGGGTGACACAGATGTGGGTGAGACCCGTGGGGAGGTGACAATGGCAGCTTTTATCTTGATGTTGATTTTGCTCTTTTCCTTCCGGGCTTGTCCAGTTGTTTGTGACCCTTTTCTGTGGGTCCCCACTGGAAGATGCTTTAGACTTGTGGCAGGCTTTGGGGCCTTGCTCTGGGCCAATCCCATTTGAATGGACTTTTACCCACGAGGGGACGGGTAACTCTGGATGCTTCATTTAGAAACTAGACTCTTTGCCTTACCTGTATTGTTTCCTAGTTTTATTAAAGTTCCTTCCCATTAAAGTCTCATATGTTTTGTGTTAATGCGGCGGATGGCAGAACCCTACATAGAATAGACAGGTTTGCGGGGCTTGGGCTGCCCTTCTCCCTGTCCTATAACACAATTAGCTTCAGAAAGAGAGCATAAAAAAGAGAATGCTGTTTAGAAAAAGGAAAATTTTATCAGAAAATATGGGAAAACTATTAGGCATTTAAAATAAAGTTAGAGCATCTGAAATTTAAAAATTTTAAGTACGTCTACAAGATATAGTTGAGGAAGTTTCCCAGAAAGTGAGAGAAAAGTCCAAAACTAAAAAGAACACGTAAAGAGAGAGAGAGTGCATCAGTTCAGTGATCTAATATAAGGAATTCTAGAAAAAGGGAAGAAAGACTGTGGAGTGGATGGTAAGAGGGTCTGCTTAGTACCCAGACAAGAGGTTGGAAAGCACTTCTGATGCAATTTCAGAACAGTGGAGAAAATAAAAGAAGAAAATAAGACAGCAAACTATTAGCAACCTATATAATTCTATTATCTGGACAAATTATAAAGTGATGGTTAGATTAGTTACATTAATTTGAATAAAAAAAGTTCAAGAAAAGAAAGACTTCAAATTTATTTCCCTTTACCTTTCTCAGAAAGCTAGTATGTGCTTCAACGAAATAAAGGAATAAACCAAAAACCTTGAGGATGGCATGGGATTCCAACAGGGGAAAGAAGTAAAAGGGACACCTTTGACAAAAGCGGAAGGAAGTCCCACTGGTGGAGGCTGACAACTGTGTGGAAGGAAGATGAAGAGGCAGATTCTCCGATGTGAACTGGCAGGAATTTTATTTAGACTTATATAAAAGACTAGGAAAGACATGTAGTCTATTACTTGGCTCAGCGGTGAACATGATTTCCCCAATAATAAAAAAGGTTAACAGGGCCTCCCCTGGTGGTGCAGCAGTTGAGCGCTGGGTTGCGAGGCTGCAGTGCCAGTTCGATCCCTGGCCACCAGCAAGGGTCCCACAAAAAAAAAAAAAAAGGGTTAACACTATTAATTGAATAAAACATTATAACTCTGCTGGAATGTGGAAGAAGGGAAAGAAATAAGTGGGAACAGCAGTGCCATAAATGATAAATCCTCAACCTACCTTTTATATAATGTCTAAAATAACTCAATTAAAAAAAAAGAAAGAAACTAAACAATAGAAGTACTTCAGAACAGCTGAAAGAGTTGAAAGTATTTGGGGAATGATAATTGGGGTGAGTTAGATAAGGAGATGACCACATTTTCCCTATAAACTCAATACTCCTATTTCACATATGAAATTATACTTTACTAAAAATGAAAACTAGGACTAAAAAGCAAATCATCTGCACTTTCTCAAGCTCATTCATCGTCTCATGACGGCAGGTCTTGTTTACATATTTCTGCAACCTAAGTCCTGTCTGTGCTTACACTCAGGAAGTTTCCTTTAGTATTCAGGCTCTAAGAAAAATCCTTTGTCTCCAAGGAAGACTCGGTAACAAAAGAAAACCAGTTCTTACTCTTCCCAAAATGGTCATTATGAAATTAACTTTTTAAAATCAAACTTAGGGTTAAAGTTAAGTGGCCAATCAAGATCTTCTATAACTTTTTTTTAAATGGTATTTATTTATTTTTTAAGATTTTATTTATTTATTTATACAAGCACTGGGTACACTCAGAAGCGCAGGAGGGTGACAGAATTCACCAGAGCCAGAGCGGGGAGCAGAACAGGCAGACTGATGAAATACACTGCTGAGGGGAGCAGCGGGTGCGGCAGGAGAGGTCTGCGCACCATGTGGGACCCTCGCCCGGCGGTCGGGGATCAAACTGGCGCTGCAGGGGCTGTGGGCAGCTTCTCAACCCAGCGCTCAATCGCTGGGCCACCGGGGAGGCCCTATAACTTTTGATCATATCAAATTACTTATACCTTCTTAGTTTTATCCAATGGTTTACTTAATTACAGACACCTAGCATTAATTCCCATTATTCATGTTTCTTTTTTTTTAATAAATTTTATTTTTATATTCCCATTACAATTGCACCCCTCCTTATTTTGACCCAATCCCTCCCCTCCCCATTTCCCACCCCCCCCATAGAATATCTCTGGTTCATAGTTTTTTGTTGATTTTGATTTTCACTTTCTTATAGTTATTCATTTTCCTGGTCCCTTATTTAAGTTTTCTAGATTCCTGCTATGAGTGAGACCATACTCATGTTTCATTTTTAAAGATCCACAAGGTTTTGATAAATTAGAAGAATTTTTTCTGAAAGTAGGAGCCATGAAGCTGGGCCACATGAGTTTGTTCACTTGGTGCTCTACTAAGGAAGTGAGAACAGCTCTAAGACCCAGAGTTCACCACCCCAAGACAACCATGTTGCTAAACCTTAAGGGAAGAGCACTATTTCTCATTGGCCTCTCCAGAGAGGCCCCTTTTTCCCAGTTGAACCAATCAAAGTTTGCACCTTGTATCCAACTCACAAAAGAAGCAGTATTTCCCTGCTGTACCTCTGATTCTCTTTCTTTCTTAAAAAGGGCTATTTTAATCTTTTGACTGGTTTGCATGTGGGTAAACTATAAGACTATGAGCAGTGGTCAAATCTTATCCGATCATGATCTACATTTACATACTGATGTTCCTGTGACAAATGTCTGGTGACGTACCAGGAATGTGTTTCCACAATGCCCACACACAACCCTGGTTCCTTCTGGTTGGATTGGCAATGCAGGTTGAGCTGGCTGCTCTTCTGAAATAACCATTACTGGACCAAGGTTAATTATGCGTCTACTGTGGAAAGAAAAAGGAAACAACTTGATTATACTACAAATGGACTAGTGGCTGAGCTTGAAATATATGGCCAAAAATATGGAAAATAACATTGAAAGTATGTTACATTTGTTTCACAAATAAGTGAAGTAAATGTGAATTTGGAGCCAAAATCACAGAAAACAACAGTCAATACTTCAAAAGCAAAATGAAAGTCTTTTTAAATTTGGCACTGAAACCATAAATGATGCTATTGTTCCAAATCAACGACTCTGGCAACCATTTAACTGTGATTTCCAAATTTTTGTAAGTTTAAATCATAAAATAAAGTTCATTTGTGGTGAACGTAAAGTAGTATATACACATGATGAGTCTTAATGATCCACACCTAAAACTCATACAATGTTAAAATGCAATTTTACTTTAAAAATAAGTAAATAAACCTACAAATTTCATTGAATTCTAATTTTGAAAAAATTGTACATCAACTATTCTACATTAACAAATATGCGTGTGTCATGAAGGTGCAAAGTGTTGAGTCACAATCAAATTTCTCTTTATAGTTGGTATTCTTGAAATCTATTTAATCAGAGTTGGACAGAAAGGAAAATGGGAGCCTTCTTTTTTTTTTATTCTCCAATCTACCAGCAGATGGGATTGCAATGATTTATATAATGGTCAAAGGTTAAAGATTACAGAAAAAAACAGTTAAGATATTGATATACTCTTCTTTGAGCATGTTATTATGGCAGTTTTTATGGGCAAGTAACTTCAGAATTTGTTGCACAGATTTGACTCATTGGAGACTAGTGCAGTACACAGTGAGGTACAAAATGACCAAACACCTCCAGGTCAAGATAAATGCCAATTATGCCTGAGACTATACATAATTATGCATTATTCCAAAGGCAAACTGGTTATTTTTTAAATAATTAGCTTAATGAATCACTTATTACAGAGCATAAAGTATTCACATAACATCAAGGAAACTACCATTGCCCACTCAAGAATATTATCTTACAAATACCTACACATTTAAGTCCTTTAACAAAAAAAAAAAATAATCTAGGTCCTATATATACTTGAGGGCAAAGTCTATTTAGAATAAATACTATATATTATGAGCCTTTAATATATGCTTGTTGAATGAACAAATGAATGAATAATTGAATTTTTATCTCTTACCAGTTGGGTCTGGGACATCCTATTCGCCGAGATGTGTCCTTACAAATGAGGAGACAATTACAAGGGCATCTAACATATTTCTTCCCTGTTGGGGGGTTTTTGATTGGCTAGATAAGGGAAGAAAATGTAAACACAGCATATTAGCCAAAGTACCCATTGCCTTTCCTTGTGTTTAAAAAGGAAATGATTGTGTTTGAAAATGAAAGTTCCCAAAAGGCTACTAAAGTCACGTTTAAGGAAAAGTACATTCTAAGTAGTTTTAAATAGCTCAAAGGTTGGCAAACACTATAGGAAGCTGCAGGCATTGCAGAAATTTGATTATGAAGGGCATATTTCAAAATTAATTTGTACTGGTCTTCTCATATGGGAGAAATATTTCGTGCACACCAAGAGCTGTTATCCTTTTAAAGTTCATAAGACAGGGTCATCTACCTGTCTGGTCAGGTGCACTCACTAAGAGTTCTTGCACCTGTCCACAAGGAGCAAGTAGGGGAAGAGGAAATTATGATAAATTTCTAATTTTCCTGAAGTTAAATCACTAGTAGGGACTAAATTTTGGACCTCTTTGAATGAAAATACTTGTCATAACTCTTACTACTGGCACGTCTTTTTTTTTCCCCTTAACTTAGAAGCAAATTTAAAAGCAAGGATAAATAACATCACAAACAACACTCCTTCAGTACTAGATGGTACAAAAGTAAGTAACCTATAATGCACTGAGAGGAATAGAATATTGCTCTAGTGACACTGCTACCAAAACATATAAACTAAAGCCAATTATAAGAGGATATCAGGCAAATCCCAAAGTGAAAGACATTGCATAAAATAACTTTTCAGTGCTCTGCAAAAATGTCTAGGCAATAAAAGACAAGATTTAGATTAAGGGAGATTAAAGAGATATGATAAACAAATACAACTATAATTCTGGCATCTCTCCTGGGCTAGATTTTTTTTTTTAAAGGAACAACAGGGCAAATATGAATTTGATCAAAGAATTAGAAAACAGTATCATGGTATTAATTCAATGTTAACTTTCTGCATTTGATCACTGTACTGTGTATAAGTGAATGTTCTTTTTTAGTTTTATTTTTCATTTCGTAAATGAAGTGCCATTGTTTCACATTCTTGCTAATATTTTGACAGAGTAGGACTTCTCTCCTCAGATGTCGTCACCTAGCTCTCCCACCACCAAAGCACCCACAGTCCTCACCAGAGCCCCTTGTGCTCTCTCCACTCCTTCCCCTTACCCCTAGATCTCTTTCCTCCCTTCTGGTTGCCTCAGATCTATGGTCAGTTTTCAAGGGTTCATTTTAAAGTATGTCTTTTTTTTTCTTTAGGAAATTCACTCTAAAATGTCTAGGTGCAGAGGATCACCATGTCCACAATTACTTTAAAAGGATATTAAAAAATATTTATTTAGAGAGATTTATTTACAAAGAGAACACTAATATATCAAAATATTAATATTCAGAGAACATATATGAAGTGCCTATGGGAGTGCTCTATACTATGTACTGTTATTTTTGTGACTTTCCAGGAAGGCCACAGTTTATTTTTAAAAAAAAGATGTTTCTAACATTTAAGTAAATAACCATTGTTGGAAAATATGAAACTTAGCAATAAGCCACTTACAATTTATTAAATTATAGTATAGCTAAAAAAATCTGAATATCTAAAATTCGCAAATATCCACAGTTTTATATATATATGTATAGATTACATACAGTGTCCAAAAAACAGAATTTGTGTTAAATTCTGTATATCCAAAATTTACCATTAAGTAAATGTGTGCCCTGCAAATGATGTTTTTTTTTTTTTTTTATGTTTTATTCCAACTTCATTTCCAGACCTCAATTGAATCTTTTAGGAAACAAGGCAATTAGAAGATTTCAAGCACTGGTCCTCAGTATAAGTCCAAACCATGTCATGTATGGTCTGCAGTGAAATGGGTGCCATATGCATAAGTGTTAGCATTCCTACTTGACAAAATAAACATGTATGTGCCAGTACTGCGTTAGGCATTTAACCCTGTAATCCCAACAATGACCTCTTAAGGTAGTTATGTTATTCTAGTCACATGAGGAAACCACAATTTAGAGAAGTTATATCCCCAGAAACAGATAGCTAGTAAATGGCAGAGTTAGGATTCAAACCCCACTGTGTGAGCCTCCAAATACCAGACTCATAACTGGTTGTGCAGCCAAAAAAGATCCACTGTGTCTCCAGGGCTTTTCATATTTTCCATTAACTTGTCCTAGAAATCACTCTTCATTTAACCGTAAATTCTGTATTCTCTCAATCTTGCTAAAATTCGTTCATATCTCTCTCTCTCTCTCTCTCTCTCTCTCTCTCACACACACACACACACACACACACACACACCCTTACTCCCAGTTATGTCTATTGACATAAAAAGGACTCTTTATTAGCTTCTTTTGTTTTGCTAATCTACACAGGAATATCAGATTCCTGTCACAGGTGACTGCCCAAGAGGACAGATACACTGATACCCTATTTTAGGTGATGTGAAAAGAATGAATCACAGTAAAACTGAGCAGGGAACAGTCACAGCGAAAATAGAGTATTATTCTGTTGGACTCTGGGCCACTTTATCTGTTCTTTCCAACCCAGAATTTCTCCAGAGAAGTTCTGAGTTGCCTGATACCTCTTCATTCACAAATGTAAGGTCAAATTACATAGCAAAGACTAGCAAGGCATACATTAAAGTACTCCTCAAAGACTATATTTCACTTTTTCCTTCCCCTGTAACATTATTGATCTATAGAAAGCAATCTGGTTGGATACTATTCATTTTCTCTAGAACATTCACAATTATTTACATTTCCTTACTTAACACTTGGGCAGTAATAATACAAAAATTTTAGCATACTTTTCCTTATTCAGAAATGGTTTATTTGTAGCCAAAACCTATTGATTCTCTATGAAGTCATCACTTCTATGGAGTTAATTGAAGTGAGGCTAAAAGCTGAATCCATACTAACTTTAATATTCTTGCAAAAAAAAAAAAAAAAGATCTAGTCTGCTCTTTACTTTCAAGTATAAAGATTTAACGCTCCTTTTTTCCCCCACTTATTAAAGAATAAAAATTGGTATCTATGGAGGAATCAGAGAATAAATCACCCTAACACCAAATCTCAGGAAATTTTTAAAGCACTAGCATTTTTCAAAATTGCTATTTATGTTAATAACTCATACTTGCTTGGTAACTCTATGTAGGGTAAATGATTTTCAGGCTTTTCTGCCCTCCCACCACTAGGATTGCATGTCTGATGGTGGGTACCTGCATCTGTTACATTGTTATAAGTTGTGTTGTTTACTTCTGTGGGCCATGGCTGCAGTATTGAGATATTCACCAAGAGAAGCAGAGGCAGGAGAGAGAAGGGGAGAAAGAAAGCCAGGGAAGCCCAGAGAGAAGACTTGGGTGGTTGGGGGGTGGTTAGAGGCCTGCCAGCCTCCTGCCCCTCCCACCACCTGCCATGTACCTGGTTGCTGCACTACATGTAAAAGTTCAATAAAAGCCTAAGAAAGCCACGGAGGGTTCAAGGACTCTCCTTTACCTGACCGGTCTGTTCCAATCATAGGAAACCCACACTGTGCCCTTCCTGCCACTACACTCTACAAAGAGAATGATGGAAGTTAATATGAAATTTACTAGTGAGTGTTCAACTTAAAAAGAAAGGAACTGGATTTTAGGTATCAACTATTTATACAATAAAATTTGTCTCTAAATAATGTCCCTTATAGAGAAAAATATTACAATGAAATATATACCTCATGACTTAAGGTTTTATTTTATGACTTCTTCATAAAACATATCCATGTTTTATGGGTCCTAGAGATACAACAATGGATAACATTTTTAGACTTTTCCAAAGAGGGAAACATATACAAATACCAAAAATTAAATTAATATTTAGTTACGGATTTTGAGAGATTGAATTTTTTTAATATAAGCCTAACTAAGAAAGTAAAAATATCCTAGTCAATGTATACTTCGATGTATACCGATTACATAAACTACAAAAATTTTACTTAAAATTTAGTTGCTTTTCCCAGTAGAATTTAGTTGTTCATTATTTTATTTATCAGGTAAACAAACGAAAATACCAAGTTACTTGGAAACACCTGGCACAGATGTCAATAATAAATGCTTAATCACAAAAGCTTAGAAAAACCACACTGACATCCTAGAGACATAGAACAAGTTTAAATAATTTTCTACATGAAATCAAAGTCCACATTTGCAGTGAACTTTGAGATATTTTCATGTTAGTAAAAATCACAATGGATTTAGTTATGTGGGTAGACACTGAAGAAAATTATAAATAACTATGTTCAGTCTAGTTTTAGAAAATAAAGCTCCGAACAGCATTATATTTAAATTCACTATGAATGATCGTAATGGAATTAGCTTTAAATACCTAGAGGCATCCTTGTATGAGAAATGGAAAACAGACAGGAATAAAAGTATCGCCATATCTGGATCCCGCCCACATCTACTTTTAAGTAACATTACTAGGGTACTTTCTTTAGGGAGTAGGTGTCAGATAACAATTTCTGCTTTTATTAAAGGAAATCTCCACTTACTGTAGCTTCATTGCAAACTGTGCACTTAACCACATGCTGGTGAAGCTTGCCATCCAAATTGATAAGAGATTGGCACACACGGCAGTTGATTACTGGAATACCACTGGCATCTGGACTGGCAATGGCTGTATATGGAGGTGGGAGTTCCGCTGAAAAGATATTAGTCATTGAAGCAGTCTCAGCAATATAATGGCTAGTTTGAGCATATGAGCAACAGAAGCAAAGCAGAAACTTATCAAAATTTTCCCACAATCTTTTAACTGTTTTGAAAGGTAGCAAGCATGTCCTAGTTTCAGAGAATAAACTCACATGCGACCATCTTGTAAAGTATCAATAGAATAATTCTTAATTCTGGTAAGGAGGGTTCGAGGACCCTAGATATAGGGTTTGTCTAGATATACCCCAATGACCAAGAATCATTCTACTAACCTATACTCAAAATACTCACTCTATTCCTATATGTCAGTTCATAAATCTTATAATAGGAAAGTGGTACTTTATGCCTAATGTAAAAATTCTTACACTAGTGACCTAACTACTTAGAAATAAAAAGTCAATAAAAGCAGTTTTTAAATCGCTTATACACACACATAAGTCATGTAGCTGTCATGCTCTGTTTATAGTGGAACCAGTACAATGACTGCAGGCTATAACAAAAACAAATAGGATTTTAGTGGCAATCAAGGAGAGACCAAACTTAACCAGCATGGAACAAAGATAATTAGAATGGAACCATGCTAACTTAAACTAATTTAACAATATTTTTATTGTTAACTCTAATTTTTACTTAACATTAAAAATCTAACAAAGAGACCAAATTGTTTATGGGCAAAATGTGATGTCTGGGATTTAATTTAAATATACCAAGAAAAATAAAAGGATGGGAAAATAGATAAAACAAGAGTAACAAAATGTTGATAATTAATCAACATGACATAAAAGGTTATTTTGTTCTCAGTATTTTTGCATTTGAAAATTTCCAGAAAACCTACAAATGCGCGCATACACACACACACATACACCACGGAGTGTAAGAGTCCATGGTTGACTGGCTAGGTAAAGGGAGGAAGTCATGTTTTAAAATGGTATTTAGCTATCGAAAGTACATATTTGTTATGAAAGTCTGAGACAAAGAATATACTATTCCAGGCGGGATTTCCATACAAGTACCGTGCACTAACCCGCTGCACCTTCTGGATGGGACTTCTAAAGGGGCTGCCTAGCTCAGTTCTGTAGCTAGTGATGGGCATCGGGCATTGGCAAGGTAAGATACTGTCTTAGGACATCTAGAAAGGGCTACACCCCAATATATGGTTGAACCCCACTAAAGAGTACTAGTATTTCAAGGGACTTCTGTGACAGTATAAAATATAATCACAATAGCTAATCATGAAAAGAATTATTTTTGAAATAGAAATTTTCTATTGACTGGATTCGATTCTGAACTGTAGTATTTTTTAATGAATTACAGCAAGGCATAGTATGTATGTCTAAAACCCACATATTACCACCTGGCATCCTTGGAATTTAGCATATATATTTTTTTCAGACCTACAAAGAATTAGCAACAAGTCTTATTCACTCAAATGATTCATAATTAGCCAATCTCTGCAGCAGCCAAGGCAGTGAAAGAGGCCACTCTGAAATGACAACATGTGCACATTTCTAGGAGGTTTATACCAGAGCCCTGCCAAACACAGACTGAAAAAGAAGCTGTAGATGTCTTAAATTATAAAAATAGCCTTAAATCCTTGAAAGAATTTGAGGTCAATCCAGAATGACCTGTACTGTATTAATCAAGGAAACAAAAACAGGTTTAAATGACAGTGAGCCAACAATATTTTTGATCCTTATAATTTTGACCCTTGCAGAGTACTTTATCAGATCTCAATAAAGAGGGCATTATTCTGGGAAAAAAAAGAATATATACCTCACTGGAAACTCAAGATATACTTCCTGGTATGTAGTAATAAAAATTATTTTTAATCTTTCTTAGCAACAGCATTACTAATAAAATTGAGTGATAGATTAACATGAGTTAGTTCTCTCATAATTCTAGGTCTCTATGTTACATAGTATGATAGAAAATATGTTTGAGGCAAAGAGACCACACATTGCAACTACATAAGAGGACAGTAAAACCCAGGCAGAAGCTTTGCTCCAAGGACAAAATTCCAAAGGATGTCCTAGCAAGGATATGAAGTGCATCAGAGTCAATGGAACTCTGTGAAGTTTTCCTCTAGGATTCACACTATATAATTTTTAATCAGAAGATGAAGACAAGGAAGACGATGACAAAGAAAATGACAATGGAGGTGGAAAAGAAGAAGGAGCAGGAGAAGGAGCATGACAGCCTCTTTAGCAACAAAAATATGGTCCTATCTACTCTTGTGGAGGCTTGGGAAGTTGGGTTAAGGTGAAAGTGAGGATTAGAAGTCTAAGAGGAAGAGACTATAAGCTCCAAGAGGACATGTCATGTCTGGCTTGTTCAGGACTGACTCACAAGCACTTATGTCAGTGACAGGTCTACGGCAGATGCTCACTAAATATTTATTGATGGATGGATGGATGAATGAATGAATCACTGAAACTTGTCTGACACATCTATCTCTCTTAGAAAAAGAACACTAAAAATATTACTGCTCTCTTCCTTGGAGAGCAGCTTGATTGATAAAAGTGTCTCTTCTTTGGAGAATACCCTCTCCAAACCATGCACTCAGAGAGGTGGGGTAGTTAGGGGACACTGGCTGAACCCACCAGATAAATGGAATTAATCCAAAAGATCAATAGGATGACAGATGTTGCAGGCTAATTGCTCCACTAACCAGGGCTTTCAGGGCTACCATTTCAATTTGCTGTCCATTACTTCAGCCCAGAGATGATTTAGAGATAGTATCTTATATTTTTTTCCTCAAGGAAATCTTCACCTATTAACTCCATGTTGTCTTAAAAGGGACTTGTAACTGCAGAAATTTATCACATAGTTAATAAACCTAGCATAATTAGCACTTAGACTGTTCATTTTTTTTTTCAGTTTAAAACAGCCAGCAGATCACAATGATCATACCTACTTTAAATGTCTGCCCTGAATAAAAAGTCCACTATAATCTCAGAACTCGGGATCATTAGATGTGAAGAGTCATAAATATCCTAGAAATGTCTTCCTTGTTATTTAAACAAGCCATTCTCTCTATGAAATTTGCCTAAATGAAAAATTTTTTTTCCTCCATGTGAACAGTATTTGTTAGAACGGCAGTCTCTTGGAAAAAAATCCCTTAAAGTTTCAGAATTGTACAACAGAAATTCAAGCCATCTTAGGGATTATATAGTAAACATTCAATTTACAGAGAAGACTGGAGCCCAGAGATTCTAACTTTTGAATAGACTTTCATACAGCACTTCAGCAAAGAGCTGTCCCCCATCACTGCAATCACAGAATAACGCTGCCTTTCTTAAAGATAATGACTTAACATAGAGAAGAGATGTAAGGATTCCAAATCTGAGTTAAAGGGGATTGGAAGGAAGAGAAGGAAGAGTCAAGAAAAAATAAAAAAAAATAGAACAGAATATGAATAGAACAGAGATGGAAAAAGGACCAGTTCATGATAACAAAAACTTCACAGAAAGCTGAGACTAATAAAACCTGAGACACAAGACGAAGGCATGTGGATCACAAGGTATCCATCATGGACTTCCTACAACACTCAAAAGAAACCATTATTATTATTCTTTAAACCAACAAGTGATCAAGTCACATTTCCCATCACAAATATGGACCTAATTTATCGAGTCTCTGCCTAACAGCCCATCCATGCTGCTAATTCATTCTATTGAATTAATCCATACTTCATTTTCCCTAGATATATCCTCCCGCATTTAAAGATTAGAATTGTTTTACTAGAAAGTGCTGACCTTTGTATCAGTTATTCCTTTTAAGTCTCTTCAATGGCAGCATTTTCCAGTTCACTCACTTCATTAATACACTCTTTATATTCAGTCCTTTAGGCCCTTGAGAAAAATGTATCAAAATTGAAAAATGACATCAGATTAAAATCAGAGCTATTTTAGGATACTCTGATTGATTATAGGATGAAACAGAAAGGTATAAAAAGATCAGCAGTGAAAAAGTCCTGTTTTATCCTCCTCCTGAGATCTTTGCGGAGAGTACAGATGAGGACAGAGCAAGTTTGGCTGCTATGGGATGGTTTTCTTTCAGTGTAAAACCTCTTTAGTCCAGGTCTAAGAGAGGAAGGGTTACATAGAACATAGAGACCCCAGGAATTTCTGCTAAAACAACACATCTTTGGGAGGACTGAAACGGTTAGTATCACTGCAAAAGATATGAAGGATAAGACAGCCATGACACCAATCACATCTTCATTGCACTGGCTTGTTTGCTGGCTTTGTTGCTCCAGGGCAACCCTAGTTTGATAACCGAAGAGGTATGAGATAGTAGCCTTCTATGAGCTGTATGCCAGCAAAAGTCAAGAAGCCTTAAACTCTAAAGCAGCAGCAGCCAAGCACTCTATGGGTGGAGGCTGAAGAGTTAACATTCATCACTCACAAGTACTTGAGCATCTATTCTGTACCAGGTATTGCACTAGATGCTTGTTAAGTATACCATGGAGAATGAGCTTTCCCCTGGGACTCAAAGAGCTCACATTCTTAGCATGTAAGAAGACAAAAAAAAAACAAAAACAAAAAAAACACTACAATTATAATTTAGTGTGGTAAATGACAAGGACATGCAGGAGACTATGAAAGCAGAGAAGAGGGCAACTAATCTGACAAAGGCATGTGTCAGAGGTCATGGGTGGGGCATAAGGGGAGGACACAATCACTCAAGCACAATTCAGCATTTTTTTAAGCACTGCAACCCTTCTATAATTTTTTACCATTAACTCTTTTCTCCAAACAGTAACTCTAGAAAAATAGGCATACCATATTAATTGTGGTTGTAGCATCAGCTTGCACCAATACCAATCGACATCTTAGTGCCTATGGTACTGCATGTAGGAACTGTGAAGCAGAAACTCCTATATAGCAAATGATTAGACCCAAATTCCATTAGGAGCTATTAATCTGCTCTATTTCTTTCCTTTAGTTGTCTCGGGGATTTGGGTTGTACCAAAAATCTACCATATATACT